ATATGACTGGTACGTCTTCTTACTTTCAAACCTATCACCCTCTTTCTGGAAGAGACAAGGTGAGACTAGCCGATGGATCATACTCTTCCATAGCTAATCAAGGAACTCTCTCTCTTCCTCTTGGTCTTTACCCTTTCTGATGTCCTTCATGTTCCAAATTTTCCCATTAATTTGTTCTCTATTAGTAGTGTTACTAATTCCTTGAATTGCTCAGTGACTTTTTTCCCTTCTCAATGTGTGATTCAGGATTTGGCCTCGGGAGGACGATTGGTAGGGGTCGTATGGCTGATGGACTTTACATACTGGAGAATAAGGCTGGTCTTCATGTTACAGAGTCTATGAGTCAGTCCTGTAAGAAAAAAGTCTATTTATGGCATTGTCGTCTTCGTCATTTGTCTTTTGAGTCTTTGAAAGTTGTATTCCCAGAACTATTTAAGTCAATGTCTGTTTCTGATTTTTCTTGTCAAACGTGTCAGTTGAGTAAGCATTGTAGAACTCATTTTCTTCAAAGAAATAGTAAATCTGAATCTCTGTTTCACATTGTTCATTCTGATGTGTGGGGCCCTGTTACTTTACCATCTGAGAGTGGCTAMAAGTATTTCATTACCCTCATTGATGATTATTCCAGATATACTTGGGTATACCCGATGCGAACCAGGGAAGAAGTACCAAAAATCATTCAAGATTTCCAGCGGATGGTCTTCAATCAATTTCAAACTGAAATCCAAAATTCTCAATCAGACAATGCAAAAGAATTTTTTCATAGTGACCTCATGGAATTTTTTGCTTCGCATGGTTCCCTTCACCGTAACTCTTGTGCCCGCACACCACAACAAAATGGTGTGGCTGAACGGAAGAACCGACATCTCCTTGAAGTGGCTCGRGGTTTACTACTTCATATGAATGTTCCCAAACGGTTTTGGCTTGAAGCTGTTCTTTGTTCCACTTACCTCATAAACCATATGCCCTCTTGTCGGTTAGAGTACAAAGCCCCACATCAACTTCTCTTTCCTAAGGCTCCTCTTCTTTCTATTCTTCCTCGTGTCTTTGGTTGCCGGTGTTTTGTCCAAAATCTGTCTCCCACCCGTGGGAAATTGGATTCTCGTACTATCCCTTGCATATTTCTTAGTTACACCTTCACTCGAAAGGGATACCATTGTTTTGATCATGTTTCTCGTAAATTCTATATCTCCATGGATGTTTCTTTCTTTGAAGATGAGCCTTTCTATCCTGTTTCTCCTCAGGGGGAGTGTAGGCATGAGGAGAAACTGGTTCAACTTCCCTCTCTCCCTGACCTTCGTGTTTTTTCTTGGCGTCGCAAAAGCCAACCAAATTCACGAGCTGTAGAGAATCCGGAAGCTGTACCTCCAGTGCCACCAGACTCCTCGGGGGAGGATCACACTCACTCAGGTATTTTGGCTCCCAATGATGTTCTTGAATCTATTGAAAATGATTCCTCTACTACTAATGATCTTAATCGTCCTATTGCTCACAGGAAGGGTGTTAGATTGTGCACCACTAAACATCCCATTTCCAACTTTGTCTCCTATGAGAACATTTCATCCTCATTCCGTGCTTTCCTTACCTCTATTGACAGTGTTCCTATCCCTAAGAATGTGGCAGAAGCTCTTTCAGTTCCTGAATGGACAAATGCCATGAGGGAAGAAATTAATGCCCTTCACAAAAATGGCACATGGGAACTTRTTGATCTTCCTAAGGGAAAGGTTCCAGTTGGATGTAAATGGGTGTTCACAGTCAAGCATAAGGCTGATGGAACAATGGAAAGGTATAAAGTTCGCTTAGTGGCAAAGGGATTTACTCAAGTGTATGGAGTTGATTATGCAGAAACTTTTGCCCCCGTTGCCAAGATGAATTCCATTAGAGTCATTTTCTCTCTTGCGGCTAATCTGGATTGGGTTTTACACCAGCTTGACATCAAGAATGCATTCTTGAATGGTGACCTTGAAGAGGAAGTGTACATGATTCAACCTCCTGGTTTTCTAGCTCAAGACAATGAACAGAAAGTGTGCAAGTTGAAGAAGTCCTTATACGGGCTGAAACAATCACCACGAGCTTGGTTCAACAAATTCCATGTGGCAGTTCAGCATAAAGGATATAGGCAATGTCAATCAGATCACACACTGTTTGTGAAAAAAGGAGAAGGTAAAATTGCTGCTCTAATTGTATATGTGGATGACATAATTGTTACTRGTGAYTGRGAGSATGAAATTCAGAAATTGAAACTTTTTCTTGCCACTCAGTTTGAAGTGAAGGATCTAGGACCTGCCAGATACTTACTTGGAATTGAAGTCGCCCGATCAAAGAAGGGTATCTTCATTTCACAAAGGAAATATGTCCTAGATTTACTTCAGGACACTGGGAAGATGGGGTTGAAGCCAGTTGACTATCCCATTGACCCCAACCATAAATTAGGTGACAGCTGTGGTGAATCTCTCAAGGATGTAAAACAGTTTCAGAGGCTTGTAGGGAGATTGTTATACCTTTCTATGACTCGCCCAGACATTGCATATGCTGTTGGTATCCTCAGTCAGTTCATGCATGCTCCTAGGTCTTCTCATCTTGAAGCAGCAGAGAGAATCCTCCGATATCTAAAGAAGTATCCAGGTACTGGTTTGTTATTTCAAAAGCACGGACATTTGAAAGTTGAAGTTTATACAGATGCAGATTGGGCTGGATCCCAAAGTGACAGAAAGTCTACCAGTGGCTACTGCACCTTTATAGGAGGGAACCTTGTTACATGGAGGAGTAAAAAGCAAAATGTGGTGGCTAGATCCAGTGCTAAAGTTGAATATCGTGCTATGGCCCACGGGRTTGCTGAAGGCATGTGGATAAAGAATTTGTTGGGGGGGTTGGGTTTCCTAGTGGCCAAACCTATAACTCTTTTTTGTGATAACAAAACAGCTATAAGCATTGCTGCCAATCCGGTGCTACATGATAGAACAAAGCACATCGAAGTTGACAAGCATTTTATCAGAGAGAAAGTTATCACAGGCAAAGTGTGTACCCCCTATGTCACTTCTGAGAACCAGCTTGYAGACATCTTTACAAAGGGTTTAAACCTTTCCAGACATCATGATCTTTGTGACAAGTTGGGCATGATTGATATCTATGCTCCAACTTGAGGGGGAGTGTTGACAGTTGTTTGTGTATTCAGGTTTAGTACCATAAGGGTACTGTTGTAATTTCTCTTCTGTTTATATCGTTCGACTGGACTAGTATAAATAATAAATTCATTCATTCGCCCCCTAAGTTCTGGAGGGCTTTCAATCACTCGACTCACCTCTCTTCTCTCTTCTCCTCTCCTCTCTTCACTTGCTCTTGCTCAACACAAACTATATAGTTTATTATGCTGGATGGGTAGGATAGCAGAGGCTAACCTATTAAGGGCTTCTATGATTGTAATACTCTCTTTTCATCAATGGAATCTTCTTTCAGTTGCTGATTGAAAAAAGAGAGAACTTAGATTGACTCTTATAGTTCAATTGCAAAGCATCATCTTACTGACATAAAGGTTTTACTAAGTAAAGATGCACACTCAAATATACAAGGCTAGAAGGCTAGGCAATTCTTGTCAAGCGAATAATAGTACCAAAGGCTAATAATTAGAATGCAAAAAGATTGTTTTAAAATCTTTAACTGGGTTTACACAACAAGATTAGTCACTACGAGTAAATCAGTAGTGAATGGAAAATCTAGTTGTTTGCTTCTTTCTGAAGGCCCAGCAGATTGCAAATGGTGTGAAGTTCAGAAGTTGGCCTTGTCTGCTAAAGTCTCTCATGACCAAGGGCAAGCATCTATCAGTGAGGACATATTTGTTTTGATTACCACTTCCTAAGCTTTACAAAGTCTGACCACACTGAGATGTAGTAGTTATGGTGAATCCAAACTTGACAGATTCCTCGAGATTAACTTTTAAAGCACATAGTTTTGAATATCCCTTCCTATAGAGGAAGCACTCAGGACCCCTATCCATTTTCAAGGAAAAAATAACATCTTAGCCACCTAGGCATGATAGGTAGCATGACCTTTTATTTTATTTTATTTTGTTAACTTGAACCCCAAACCATACTCCGGGTGTAGGGGGATAGGTAGCATGACTTGGAGGAGAAAATCCCCCGAGGATCCAATTGACTGTATCACATATCCTCCTATCCTCTATAGTGTATCTTGTTTTGGAAACTTTCCTAGGTTATCAAGGAAATACAGGAGATGTACTCTTCAACTCTTTGTTGAATAGTTCATTTGCCCCTATTTTTGCAGTCAGCAAATAATTGGGGTGACTCAATAGATGAAGGTGGAGATTGGGAGTGGAACTTAACTGTAAGGCTATTTATTCTGAGTTAAACACTAGATAGAGATTCATTCTCTACATATTGTCTTTGTTCAGTGGTTTCAGAACCTTAGCTCCCAATGAGGACTTGAAAATAAGCCACTGCTGCCCACCATAGTTATATGGCAGTGAATGAAAGAGATGAACTCAAAATACAATGAGTGTATCAAGAGGTGGAACTGAAAAACAGGTCCATTATACAAGAACTTAGATCTGAATGAGGGTCTTGCAAAGAAATTACTGGTTCTGTAGGGGTATTGATCACATCACATAGCAGTCAATACCTAATAGAGGGATAAATAACCAACTGATGGTGGCTCAGTTTGTGGGATCTCCGGCCGGTTGTAGTGGACACTCGGGTTCAAATCCCACTGCCACCAAGGTTGGGGGGTTATGGCTACCCCTGTTATGTAGCCCCATGAACCCACAACAACAACAATAAAGGGATGGCTCAAAACACAAGTGAATCAAGAGGTAAGGATGAACCTCTAACCTGATGAAGAAAAGGTTCAAATGTATCACGAGCTTTGGCAACAGCAATAACACAAGCAGTCCTGTTGAATAAATTCGAAAAGAAAACAAAGAAGCTATTGTAACTAAGAAATAATTAATGCTATCATGTATGGAAGGAGATGAAGCTAGAAAACCATGAATACCTAGAATAGTTTGTTCCATCGTGAATATCTTCTACTCCACATGCATTTACAATCTCTTCCCGAGTAATTGGGGGGCACTTGATTCCCCCAACAACAAATCGGAATTCTGCCATTGCACGGTGATATTGTGCACCGCCATAGAGACGCATCCCAGCATTCTAAACACAAGAGTATCATGGCCACCATATGCAAGATAAGCTCGCAAATACATGGAGATCAAATTTTGACAAGGAATGGTTAGGAGAAAAAAGGAAAAAGAATGGATGTTTTTATCCATTATATAGCCATTTTACTTCTTTCAATTCCATGGCATATCTCAAAAAGAAGTTCTGAAGGAACTGAAGAAGCAAATAGGAACATATGTACAAAGCCCAAAATCTGATATAGGAAAACTATCTCTAGAATTTCACAAATATCATGGAAATGATCTTGTACTTCTCTGCTTAGTTTATTATTGCTAGTAATTTGAGATCACATTACCTAATGCAGCAACTTTAGTATCTTAAATCAATATGCCTTATATTACAAGAAATATTTTCCATTTTCATTAATTATTTGGGGCCTGCTGTCACATATATTAGTAGCTTAAGGAATCAAATTACTTAAGGATTGATCCCTTCCACTGTAAATAGTAGTCCTGTTCTTTGGTTACAGAAGGAAATTTCTATAATGTTGTTGACAGCACCAGACATGTGGAAGAGACAAGCAACTGTATTCCATCCCCTTCATAACTTACAGGTATTAGTTTCTGTGGGAACTGGAGACCATCAGTACCAACAAATGCTCCTCCATTAACTCTCTCATCTTGCAGAGTTTCCCCTGCATCCAGAATCTCAAAAAATTACTCAAACTACTTAATATTTTACCATATAATTTGAAAAAAAAAAAACAGATGAGGAATAAAGGAAACCAATTGCACTTCATTTATTGTACTAGAATTAATCAACATCTACCATTTGTTTACAACTGTCAGTACTAATAACATGAGGATGATCTTTACCAAATTTATCAGGAGGCGCAACCACTGTTCCTTTCAATAGCAATGACAACTGAGGAGATGAACAACAACATGCTTAGCATAAAATCAACAGAAGAATAATGTCCAAACTAATTCAAAAGACTTATTTCCATTTGAAATTTTCTATTCTCCTTAGTAATATATATATATATATATAGTAACAATAAAGCGCCAACTTAAAAGGAAAATGAAGTATCAGATTGACTTGAAAATGAGCAACTTGTTTTTTCCTCTAAATGAAATTTCTCTAAACAACAGAAACCTTGGTCAGAAACATATCATGGAATGCTCTTCCTTTCTCCTTCAATTTTGTTTCATCCAAATTGCTGCATAAAAAAGAACAGATGGAATATGATCAAATAACAACATATCTTTTTCTCATAAATATTCTAGGTATGCAAAGCAAAACCAGAATCTCAGAAAAAGGAGATAGATAGAGGGATTATGAGATTTATCTCCAGCTTGAGATTCACTCTAGTATATAACAGAATGCCAATTCCAACCAACTAACCTGAGCTCCTGATTTATTTCATTTAGCTTTCTTGTTGTGCTTCGATATTCCTTTTCAAGCAGTGGAATGATAAGAGGGACACTATCCATATACCTTACAACATTGTTTCACATTGAAGTTTGTTTAGAGAATATATTATTGAAATGGACTAATAAAATGGAATATGAAAATCCCTATACCTTTTCAGAAGCATCTCTTCCAAAAATAATCTAAGCTTGCTTACACCTATTCTGCTTCTTTCTTCCTTTGTCAGGGACCGTCCTAACTTCTCTTCCAGATAAGCAATATCCTCCATCTCTCTCAAGGAAATAGCCTGTGAGTTATAGAAAAAAATAAATCAATGGGAATACTCCACCACAGACACACACAATTTCCTATATTCTTTAAACTCTTCTAGCAAATGAGTTATAATTGGCAGAGGGGTTCTCGCAGTCGCAGGTCATTCAGGAAGAGTGATCCTGCCTGATCATCATCCTTACACTAACCCAATGTCATTCCAAAAACTTTTAAGGGCAGTATATAGGCTTCTATCCCCACTTAACTCTTTCTGTCAGCATATGGTAATGAATTTAGTCAGGAAGCATTACAAGCAAGTAATCATAATTAGTACTTTTTTTGGGGGTTCTGCTTCCCCTCCTGCTTTAACTTCCTGTGCATTCTAGTAAAACCAGCCAACAGAAATATAATCCAAAATAAATAAAAATAAATAAACAAATCAGAAAGAAATAAGAATAAAAGAAGCTTAACCTGTTTAAACTCATCATTTGATCCGTAAACAGATTCATGTCCAGATCCAACTCTTCCAGAAGGCACAGATGTAAAAAAAGGAGAATCACCTAATATGCAGCCATCAAGAGTAGAAGCAGGTGGCCTAAGAAAAACTTCCACATCTGAGGAGCATGCAAACTGTGGTATTTTTGTATCAAGCTTTGTTGATACAATTACAGTCCTTGAGAGCTCAGGATCAATCTGCATGGTATTAGTGAAAAGAAACTCAAGATTTTCCAATAACAAATACTTAGCATCAATTTACTTCACTCCCTGAAACACAGGGCTACCCTTTTGACAAAATTAATGCTGAGAAAAGAGCAAATAAAATGAGAAGCAATGCAAATTAGGCATTTACTTGCATCACCACCCTCCGGGTTGTAGCATTACTCCAATCACTGCAATCCTCAAGGCATAATATGATTAATTCTTTATGCTGCATTTTAGCTCGGATAAGAGACTCTGCAGCACGGGCATGTACCTGCAAAGCCAACAAGGATGCAAAGCACACGTTCAGACACAGTTTCCATCACTATCATTATAAATGTTGTTATACACTTATACTTGGGAAAGAATGAAGGATTTAGAGCATATAAATTTGGAGGCAACACTTCACCTGTAAAGCCCGGTTTTTCCGTCCTGGAGCAGGGGCAATTAGGCCTGGTGTGTCAATTATGGTAAGGTTAGGACAGTATTTATACTCTATTCTAATAATTATTTCCTTAGCAGAAAACTGGCAAGGCTCCTTCTCCAACCTCAGGTTTTCAGCTTCAATATAAGCCTACACAATTGAAATTTTAGAACTACATTGTTTTAAATTATCAACCTCAGACAATAGAAGAATGGAAAATCAAAACAATAGAACTAAAATTCCACAACACTGTTTCAGTTTCTCTGATGTCATTATATGCAGTTCACATATTCACCATTAACATTAACAAATTTGAAATTACAAGATTCTTACTGTTTCAGCCTTTGGATCATATTTTGATGGGAATGAAAGAAATAAGAGAAAAGAAAGGAAAACAAAAATCCTCTCTAGCATGCAGCAAATCAACAGTCCATTCAAGCTACACAGCCAGTTTGTGTTTTAGAATTTCAATTTGCAAATCACCAACTTCGGTTGCAGTTGTTAAGGAGCAAAATCCCATATCAGAAGTCGACCCCCTTATGGCATCCATGACCTAATAAGGATCACTCCAAATGTAAAACTTATGATCTTCAGCCAATTACCATACATTATCTAAACGAAACTAAAAGGCCTAAATAGGTAATATCAATACATCACTTTTGGAAAGAAGATAATGTTAATAATTATTAGTAATATTTAACCCTTTTTAACAAAAGCCGTATACTCTTGATACCAAAATAATGAACAGAAGAAAAGAGTGAATAAAAAGCAATACCATAAGATCTCTTTCCTGGGCTATTAAATCTAGCTGAAAGCATGGTAAATAGGATTACGTTGTTTCTATTTTGCAGAGAGTTCTAATTACACCGTAACAAGCTACATTACCAAATATCTACAACTCTACATCTCAGTTAGAAAAAAAGGCCAACTTGGGTATGCATTCAAACAACATAAAATTCAAAAGCAGAATCACAATCAATGACAAGGATAATACAATTCAATCTCGCCAAGCTAAAATGCATTTAATCAAGCCACATTTACCGAACTAACAAGATAAACTTGGTTTGTAATTCATCTATCCTTACTTGAATTTCTTGAAGAGATTTCTCTTCGGCGACCATGGGACCAGTTTCACCGACGAGACGACAGCGGGGGAGTTCGCAGTCGGGATCATATTTCATGTGGAGAGTAATGGGTCGCCTGGTCTTGGTCCCGCCTCCGACATGGTTGAACTGGAAACCCATGAGGGCTTCGACCAATGCGCTCTTCCCGTCGGTCTGGTGGCCCACCACCAACACCGCCGGAGCGTCGAAAGGCGTCTCGAATTCCTGGGCGAGTCCATGGAGCTCGTTGTAGGCCTCGTACAGTCTCGACTGATCATCCAATTGAGCTCCTACACGCCCCTCCTCGCTCCCCATTTCTCTTTCTCTGCGACTGAGAGAGAGAGTGAATGGCAGAGGCCGCGCTTCTGTGAGACTTTAGGAGGTTTTTTCGGATGGCAATCGAATGGAAACGAACCGCGGGAGTGGCGAAAAGAAAGAAAAGTTTTGACACGTAGCGTGCATCCACAGTTCAGGGTGCCACAAAGGAGATTCTCCGCCGGGTACTGACAGATGAAATGGGGAAGGACTGAAGGAGTACTGAAATTCAAAAATACCCCCGTTGTTTTGTTATGATTATCGTTTATAGAAGGGCATCAAGTGTCTTTTTGTCATTGTAAGCTCCGTCAGAGGATGGCAATTGGCAAGGGTTAGATATCCCAAATCCAATACGAGCCAATCAGCGTTTGCTCTTTGACTCGCCAGTTGGTCTGTAGACGGGTCGGGTATCGCCCCTTCATAGTGGGTCCGTTTGGTTCACAGTTTAATTCAGAATCGGAATGGAAATTCCTTAGAATCAGAATCAGAATGGTCTATTCCTATAATCTGTTTGGTTCATACTGCAATCAGAATGGGATTTGAARTAAGCTAGATGGGATTTCATTCCCATGGGAGTGATCGATGATAGAGTGGCCATAGGCTCTCATATGATCTTTAACATGTTGGAGTATCCAATGGCCATATTACAAGTCACATATTGATGGAAGATTGTCTCATGGTTATCTTTTTGCAACACTTTCACACAATAACCTTTTTTTTTGTTTTCTTAAATTATTATTTATTTTCTATAAAAAAATTATTTGGTTGATTATTTTCATGAAAAATGATTTTTTTATGAATAGAGATGCTACAATATTGGCCTTTATTTGAGCCTTTTTCCAGCTCTTACTTTTTTTTTGGTATAAAAAGTCAAATTTCATTTGAAAGATCAGAAAACTTGTTACAAACTTACAAGGTAGTTGTTCCCTTTGAATGAGAGATGCCATCCACCTTGGTATGGCTTCAAAGAAGCACCTAGAATTAGATAGACCTTTTTGGGCCAAGGAATGAGCTAACCYCATTCACTACACCAAATCTAACATTATAACTTGTACATGAGTTTAATATGTCAGCAGTTTGAAGCACTTGAATTAATTGATTGCAATCACTTTCCAAAATGAAACTTCCTCTCCAAAATGGTTCCTTATAACAACTCCAAAAGCTTCTACCACTAAATCATTAAAGCTTCCATCGTAGTTAATTTTTTACACATTTACAGGGGGAGGGTGCCAAAAAAGATTTTGAGATTCCCTTTCATGAGGAAGTGAAGAATCTGGCCATCTTGGTTGCAAAGTCTTCATCCTCTCCTTCCAAAGCCTGTTAAGAGTTTGCAAAGTTGTATTTGGGTCAGGATGATCTGAGTTTTCAAAGATAGCTCTATTTCTAGATTTCCACAAATTCCAAATTAACAGAGCAGTAAAACTAATACCAACTTGACATGGCTACAGAAAGAACCAAACAATACCAACTTGACATGGCTACAGAAGAATAAGGCAGGCATAACTGATTCTAGTTCTTTCCCACAAATTGGACAGGAGGAATCATCAGAAATTTTCTTTTTAAACAAATTTTCTTTCATTGCAATTGCATTCCAATAGCATTTCCAAATGAAATGGGATAACTTTGTATCTATTTTAAGCTTCCAAATAGTTTTCCAAATCTTCTGACTTTGGGAGCTTGGAATCCTATTTGGAGATGAGCTCTCAACAATGTTTTATTCTGCTAATTGTTTGGCTTTATAATATGTAGATCTAACTGAAAACTTCCCAGATGCATAGACTAGTCTATTTTCCCAGGAACCCTCAGCCAGCTTTAAACTTAAAATCTGATTTGCTATTGCTTCACTAAAGTTCTTTCTTATAATATCCTCCTTCCAGCATCTTCTATTATTGTCAATTAGCTCACTAACCCAGATTGGGGATCTAATTCCAAGGTTCGGACCTATTGCTCTCTTTTCTAGAAAATTTTCAAGCCAAGGGTCTTTCCATATTCTCACTTTCAAGCTTGAATTGATTTCCGAAAGGACTTCATTTTTAATGATTTTTTTMCCTGCCAATAAACTTTTCCATCCCCATAAGCCTGACTATTTTAGATTGTCATTTAAGAAGTCTTTACCTCTTAAATACTTTGCTCTTATCAACTTAACCCAGAGATTATTTTTCTTTTATACAAGCTCTCCAAGCTTGCTTTGCTAAAAGAGCCAAATTGAAGTASTGTGGGTCCTTGAATCCCAACCCCCCATTGTTTTTGTTTTTCCTAATTGTCTTCTAGTTTAACTAGTAGCTTTTTTTATTTCTTTTAAAGAACCCCACCAAAATTCTATTTGAGTATTTACCATCTCCTTGCAAATTCTCTTTGGGATTAAAAAGTAAGTCATAGGGTAGGTTGGAATGGCAGACACCACAGATTTCAAGAGAACTTCTTTTCCCCCTTGAGATAAAAATGAGTTTGCCCAGTTGACAATTTTTACTTGGGTCCTTTCTACCAAATAGTGGAAAAGGTCCTTTTTAGATCTACCTACATCTATTGGTAGTCCAAGGTATATAGATGGTTTTTCCACATTTTTATCCCTATGCTCCTAGTCAGCATTTTTTGCAATTTTGGATGCAAATTTTTACTGAAAATAATCTCAAATTTAGAGAGATTTACCTGCTGGCCAAAGGCTTTTTCATAACTTTTGATTGCTTCTAGAAGAGTTTGACCTTCTTCTGGAGTGGCCCTTGTAAAGAAGAAACTATCATCTGCAAAAAAAAAGGTGAGAAATCATCGGTGATTCCCTATTAATTTTGATACCTAATAGTTTCTTTTAAAGGACAAGGTGTCTGAGATGGGCTGATGGAGCTTCTAAGCAGAAAGGAAATAGGTAAGGGGATAGAGGTTCCCCTTGTCTGATTCCTCTTTCAGGTTTCAATTCCCTGCCTAGAACCCCATTTATTAATATCTGGTAGGTTACAGAGGTTATACACTCCATGACCCATCCTATCCATTTTCTTCCAAAGCCTATCTTTTCCATGACTTTTTCTAGAAAACTCCATTCTACCCGATTATATGCTTTGCTCATGTCCAATTTCAGGGCCATGCAAGATTTTTTTTTCCTTTTGTTTTCTTCATGAAGTCAATTACCACATAAGCTATTAGAATGTTATCTTGAATTACCCTGCTTGGAGTAAAAGAACTATGATTTTCACTTATCATTTGGTTGAGGAGTGGTTTAACTTTGTTTACCAAAACCTTGAAAATTAATTTGTAAATTGTATTACACAAACTTATAGGATGAAATTGGCTTGCTTTAGTCAGGCTCCAAACTTTTAGGATTAGAGCTATGAAGGTTTGATTAAGGTTTTTGAGAAGTAGGTTTCTGTTGAAGAAATCCTTGATAGCTCTTGTTACGTCTTACCCTACTATATCCCAGTATTTCTAAAAAAAGATACTTTGTAAACCACCTGTTTCAAAGCAATTCTGATCTCTTCTTCCTCAACTTCCCTCTCTAACCAATTTTTCTCTTTCCAGAGATTTTCTTATTAACATTGTTTAAGAACTGATTCCAATTCGTAGGTTTTGAAGTTTTGTAAACATCCTCAAAGTGATTGTACATGATCTCCTCAATTTGGTTCTCATCTTCCACCCACTCCCCATTATCTTATTCTATATTCAAAATCCTATTTCTGCTCCTTTTCATGGTTGTTGAGTAAAAGAATTTTGTATTCCTGTCTCCATGTTTCAGCCAGTTTATCCTCGATTTTTTGGTCTACATTTGCTCCTCCCTTTTAAGCTAAATCTCCATCTCTGTTTCTAGTTTCTTGGCTTTGGTCTTATCCCCCCACCTACTTTCCCAATTTCAGACTCTAAGTCTTTTTTGATTGCTTCCAACTTCCTATGAACATTTCCAAAAGTTTCTTTATTCTAGGATCTCTGTCTTTTTTGAAGCTTATTTATTTTTTCTTCTAATTGCACTTGGGCTGAATCCATTTGTTGAATCTTCCAGGCATCTTCTACTATGTCCTTAAGACATTCATGGGAGAACCACATTTCTTCTATTCTGAAGTGTCTCTTTCTCCACCTTAATGTGTTCTCACTTTCCACTAAGATGGGGAGGTGATCTGAACCCACAGTAACCAAAATTTTTACATATGCTTCTTCATTAATTGCTTTCCATTCTTGATTGCACAGTGCTCTGTCCAGTTTTTCTCGAATGCAATTTTCCCCATCCCTTTTGTTTGACCAGGTAAAATTAACACCGTGACTTTGAATTTCATGAAGACTACACTTCTCTAAGAGTTCCCTATTTGTCTTTAAATAATTTCCACTACATTTCCTTCCACCCTCTTTTTCATTTGAATTGAAAACAAAATTCAAATCTCCGCAACACATCCAAGAGACTTTGACTAGTTTTGCTAAAAATTCCCATTAAAAAAAAGACTTTCCTTTTTTTTCTATTTGGCTCACCATAAACAAAGGAGCAAAACCATTTTTTACCATTGAAATCTTTGATTTTAACATGAATAAAATTCTGATATAAAAATAGCGCTTTGTTGACATTTCCCTCCTTCCAAAATAATGCTAGACCTCCACTTAGACCCTCAGCATCACTTCCCCAACAATCCTAGAGTTTGAGAAATTTCAAAATTTTTCTCACATTTAAGAGGGAATGTTTAGTTTCCATCAGAAACACAATATCAGGATTTGTGGTCGTTAAGGTCTCTTTTAGGACTTGAATTGTTAGGGGAGATCCAAGACCCTGACAATAAATCACCAATTCTCAGATTCTCTAATTCTCTGAGATTTATTAATATATTCATTCTTTTTTCTTTTTTGATTTTTTTTACACAAGTCCATCAAGGTGGCTGATGATGTTTCTTTCCCTCTACTTATACATAAATGAAGGTTTTGTTTATTCCCCAATAATTCTCTATTAAATTTCCATCAATGGATCTAATAACAAACTTTGATTCTGTTGCCTCTTGACTATCATTGACTAATACTTCTTCCTTAATAGCTTTGAAGACAATATTTCTAGATTTTCTTTTATTTTTTCTCCTTCCTTTTTTGATTCTTTCCAAAACAACTTTTTTATGTTTCTACCTTTTTTTTAATACTTTTTTATACAGATTTCATAGGAAATTTTCTTTTTTTTTCTGGTAATA